CTGTACTGTCCTGGGACAGAATGTCTCATAGGGCATTCCTGCTGGTATTCTCGCTGACAGCTTGCTAGCCCATGGAAGAGGAATTATCCCATTCTAGTAATCAAGAATATAATACTTATCTCACCACATTACCCAAGATGGACATAGGGTGCTAATGCTTTATGGAAAGACAGGCGCTTGCTGAGAAATGTGTTCCCTCAGGTTCAACACATCCAGTCATACTCCTTAAACACCAGGACCATCTCACCCAAATCAAAACCTCAGTGTATTTTTTCCATGTTTCCCCTCTCATGTTCATGTTTCTGAAGCTCAGGTGGGCTTTTGAATGACATCTGAATGACATACATTCATTTACTGGATAAGCAAAGGGATCATGGAGGGAACGTAGTTTGTATTGTTAGTACACGAACATACCAAGCAATTTAGATTTTGCAGAAAAGTAAATATTTCACCTGAATAAGCACGAAGGCACTTCACTGGCATGAGACAGAGGGCTAATAAGCAGCTGAGGAATTGCTGCAAAAGAAATCAAGAATATGAAGTCGAGATTCCTGTTCTATTTTGTTCGTTTTCACATTGTTTTCAAATGATGATCCTGTTCATCCCCAGAAATCTCCAGAGTAAAGCAGTAGCACAGAAAATTACTAATGTGCTGGCAATATTTATTCTACACAGCCAAAATTTACTCTGTCTCCATCATGCCTATTCCCTCCTCTTCTTCTTCTTCTTCTTCTTTAAAGTCCAAATGCATATTAACTGACTTTCTTTTTTTCCTGCTGGCCCTAAAAAGAAACAAAAATATGAAGAAATTTGGCACCATGCCCACGTTCTCCTACTGATTGTCAGATATCAGATCTTTGGCACACTGTGACTTAATCTAGCCACTGCTCTCTCAGTCCCCTATCTGGTACTGAAGGAACACATTTACCTCCACAATTCTCAGATACAATTCAGTGACATGGTTTGGTTACCAGCTCAATTTCTTCCTGTTTCAATTGCTAATGGTTGTTAAATGAATTTTGTGCACACTTCACCACTTTTATATGTTCCATAACTGTCTCTTGACACACTGACTTATTTTACCTTTACCATTTGAAAAGAAAGTTTTGGAGTATTATCTGGATGAAAGGCAGACAAAATTGTTATTTGCTTCCCATGAAAAATCTTCATCCTGTTTAGATACCTTCCCCAGCTGCTCCTTAAGTTCGGACATTCAGGAGCTCTCTGACTACAATTTCTCTGCTTAAACAGAAGTCAAATTGCTTTTAGAAGAAAGGAGGAGGATTTTGGTCAAAACTCCATTTACTGTACAGGTTCTCATTGGCTCTGAACATAAGATACGTAACAGCCAGGGTGGCATGGCTTTTGCTTCTGCTGTGCCTCATGTCACCCATGACCTTTTAGACCAAGAACAATGAGAATTCAGCAGCAAAAAGAACAAAACTGCTGGGAAAAAAAAAAAAAAAAAAACAAAAAACAACAAAAAAACAACAACCCCCTTTTACCATTGCTCAACTGCTTTACCAACTCAACTGAGCTGCCAATTGAAAGATCATGCAAGGACTGAAGTCTGAAAAAAATCACCTAGTGCTCAAAAATGTTCAGGCCTGACAAGCGCACAGCACAGCTCCTGCCAGCCTGAAGCACACATAGCTGCTTGCATTCATACATGGGTAGGAATCAGTCACTCAGGCAGCGTTTAGTCCCTGAGCTCACAGTAATTGTGAACTGGCACCAGTGGTCTCTGTAATGCTGGTGTTAGGGCATCAGGCTGTACCTACCACAACTCAGAGCCCCAGGCCAGCCGGAGATCTGAGAAAGCACTAGAGATAACCAGCTACATGCCTTCCTACCCTCAGAAAGGGCCCAGAGCCAGCGAGGCCACAAAGAGCGTTCCTGTGGAGAACAGTCTCCATGGTGGCTGCCTCTGAAGAAAGCCATCTTTATGAAGAGTGTGTCAAGCAGAGATTAGACAACCATCAGTACGTAAAGAACATGTATGCTTCCAGGCCTATGCACTAATGTCTTCCAGTTTACTGGGTTTTAAGTGTCTTATTTTCCGGTAACTCAACTATTAGCGTGCAAGGAAATGGAGAGAGAACTTAACAGCAGATGGAGGTTGACTGGTGAGGGTCAGAAGTGTTCTTATTGGACTGATCTTTCTCTCCAGCTGTGCCACACTCCATAGCAAAGTATTTTGCAAAGGAACATCCTAGAACATCCAGAAAGAAACTTCTCTGAAGGGTTCTGTGGAACACCATTACTTAGATGCAGTGCCCTTGTTAAGGGACATAATGAAGAAAACAGCTTCATGAAGAAAGGCAAAGACTGCAGGAGATGACAAGGAAGAAAAAGGAGAAGTGTGGAAACAAGTTAAAAACAAAAACGAATTAAAAAATAGAATGTGGAATGGGAAAGACAGCCAAGAAGTGATGTTAATAAAAGGTACTGGATAAAAGCCCAGAATAGAAGTACAACAAATAGAAACAGCTAGCAAATGTACACATAACAGAGTGTAAATCCACAGCAAATGACAGAGACTTTCCTCCTCTTGCAGACAGAGCTGAGCAAACACTGCTACAGGCAGGTTTTGAAAAAATGTCAGCACTGAAGCATCTAGAGTATAAACATGCACCTCTGGCCAAAAGACAGAGCGAGATCAATGCTACCTGTGAAGTACTGAGAAGGGAGATAATGTACAGAATAGCAGTGTGATTTAAATATTCCAAGCAGCATTTTGGAAGACTCCTCACAGGAGTAGGAAGGAATAACAAAAGTCTGAAAATTAGCTATTTGAGTAATTTGTATGAAGTTTCATAAAACATGCAGAAGCCAAGAACCTAAAAAAAAAAAACAAAAAAAAAAACCCAAAAAAACCACAAACACACAAACGTAAGTCTCAAGAGTTCCTCATGGAGACGAGGAATTCATAGTTACTAGTTAAATAGAAAGCCAATTTTGTGATTTATCAAATACTCAAATTTTTGTTTTTAACTGTGAATTTATGTAACTGAAAATGTGAATTATTTGTTTACTCTGAAGTGTTTGTGAACTCTTTGCTAAAACACCTTATATTCAATAGACAGAATTTCAACTGTGAGCCTTAGTTTCAGTTTAGTCATAATGGCACAACTACTTCCTGGCTTGATGAACCTCATTTCTGCAACTAGGAGAGATTTAATGAGCCTCTGAAGAGAGTAGATTTAGGTATGAAGGCTGCTCCAAAAGTAATGCCTCCTATGTTACAATATTGGCCCACAGCAGAGGCAGATGCTGGTGGTATTGCAGTACAGGTTGCACCTTCCCACCAGTATTTTTTTACATTTGTTGCTATGTGACAGATGGCAGCAGAGGGTCACCCTAACAAAGTAGCATCTGACACAGAAGTGGGTATAAAGCAAAGGTGTGTCACTGAATTCCTCCATGTGGAAAAAAATGGCACCTACTGACATTCATTGATGCTTGGTGAAAAGTTACGGAAACCAAACAGTGGATGTGATCACAGTGAAATGGTGGGTGGTGCATTTCAGCAGTAGCATCTCTGCTGGCACAGATTTTTATGAGCACAGCATGCAGACTCCTGTTTGCCACTGGCAGAAGCACATAGCTAATGGCAGTGATTACATTGAAAAAGTGCTTTGTAGCTGAGAATAATAATCTTGCTTAGCACTTTGAGACACTTACCTATTAAACAAGCTCATGTAGAGAGAAACATGTTCATATATAATTGGAGGTGGAATAGCTTCAAGAGAAAATGCGTTCTTGTTCCACAGTGTGGCATCCTTCCATTTGAAAATGACAAGGGAGGCCAAAGTTAAAACAAAAATAACTAAAGGGAAAAGCTATATAAAAAGGTAGGTAAAACAAAAAATTGAAAATTAATTCAAAAATTGTAGCAGATAAGAACATGGAAACATCTTGAAAGTTCCCTTTTATGTAAAATAAAAGTTCTCAAAAGAAGTAGGTGTCCCTGTTGAACAAATTTCTGATTCCTAATCTCCTTAGCGTGTCTTAAACCAGTGAAACAAGATCTGAAAAAGCAGCTGAATCACCATTTTTGATTCCTCTGACAGAAAAAAAGCCACACTGAATTCCTTCCTGTTTTGTTCAAATCTACCCACAGTTTCACAGGGCAGTTTTCATAGGGCAATGTACTCTCCTTTCCTTAGGTCATCTATGATGACAAGTTTCAAATACGCACTCAGAGACATAAATACACTGAAAATTTACATGAAAGTGATGAAGACTCCACAAAAACAGCCTAACACTTTTAACTTTGTTAATAGACAAGTCTTGCATCTCTCCACAAATAATTGCTTGGACTGGCAGAGGGCAAGCCAAGAAAATTTCATCTCAAGTCACAGAAATTTAACAGAAACACGAACAGAAAGAAATAATGACATACAATGAGAAGGATTATGTACTGTTCACAGGTAGTATAGGCATCACTACCTCATTAAGCTTAATCTGAGCCAGAAACTTTCTACAGAAAGATTTTTTCATCTAGTTCCTAGACAAAAATCTAGACAATTTAAGTTAGAAATAAAGCCTTCGGGCATACATTTTTTTGCCTATACTGTACAAAGTTTCCCTTCTTTTCAATCAAGACTAACAAAAGTCCCTAATCCCTTTGTCTCAAGCCTACAGCACAGACCTACTAGCCACTGCCGGTGTGTCAAAATAAACAAGGTCCTCAATTTCATTTCTGCACCTCAAGATGCACCTGAGTAGAAATGTCCCACTCACCTTTTCTTACAACTGCAAGAAAAGAAGATAGAGATATGCTTTCAGAGTGTTTCAACAAACTCAGTGTCTCAGGAAAGCTCCTCTCAACACGTGCTTCATTCTCCTTCAAGATGACTACTAAAGCTTAGTGTTAGCTACTGGACTGTAACACAATGGAGCATACAGCAATGACAGCAAAATCCTATGCAGCAGCAAGAGGTTTTGCTCTCACACAGCAGCCACCAACAGAGAAATAAGGAAAAGAAGCCACTTACCTTTAAAATACCTCAGATATACAGACACCTCCAACAAAACACCTACACTTCCACTGCCAACCCTTAAATGGAAGTCTGGGAAGGGGTGGATCCTGGTTCCACCCCTTCCAGATAGTGAGGCACACTGCTTGCATCTGTGCTCCTCTGGGTAGGTCCTGATTCCCACTGGGTGCTCAATCACTGTTTCAGGCCATGACTTAGCATTTCCACTGTTTGTTAAAGTAAATTTTGTACTCATCTGATGGTGGTTTTGGGAGTGGTGAGCTGTAATTTTCAAAAATGCCAAAATAATGCAATACAGCCCTGAAGCTCCATCAAGCAGAAGGTTGGCTGATGAAAGCAGACACCTCCACCTTGCACAGGATAACTCAAGTATTAAAAGCAACAAAACTATTATATGCAGCTGTGCAATGGAAAGACCACTTTATGGAAATGCTGTTCAACTCTAGTTTCAAGTATGTCATAAGAGTGAAAAACATGCTATATAAAAGCGCCTGAGATGCAGGATTAACATACAGAAAAGGCAATAAAGGCTCTGAGGTCTCTCAAACCACTTTTTTTTTTTTTTTTTTTTTTTTTTTTTTTTTTTTCCTTGAGAGAAGCTTAGAAGTTACAGATGGAGAGGCTTAAAGAACTTCTCAAGCAGCTGTTTAAGCTGTTTGTTAAAGTGATATAATGTTCACCACTTGGTTACCGGTAATGAAGCTGAAACTGCAGTTACAGAGTGCTTTAGCTTTACGTCCAAGAGGTGAAGGTATTTTGCAAGCCAGAGTGATTTTGCTATACTGTTACTCCCATTTATGAAGTGCTCTAATGGCAGCTTTCAGAGAACTCGGTGTACCAGTCGTGCTGGTTTAATCCTCAACTTGCTGAGGATTTAATGAGCAATGTGTGGGGCTTAGAGGAAAAGTACTCCTCTTTATACACGTAAACCTCACGTGGGTGTCTACAACCGAATAAATTCTTGAAAAACACTGAGAACAAACATTAACTGATTGAATTTTCATACTGCATGAAGTTCCTAGCCAGGCATGACTGATCATGTTCAGGGTAAAATATGAGAATAAAATGGTTGTTGCTCTATTTACTCAAAGAAATATAGAATGTTAATACAAAACAGAGCAGATTTCACATGACTGGCAAAAATATAGATGTGAAAAGAAAAGCAATTATTGCTAAAATGGTTCAGTGGCCTATTCAGTTCAGCAGCTCTGTGGAAGTGATTTAAATCTATGCCATTTAGATATTAGGCACTGCTGGAAGAAAATAAAAGCAATGAAAGTTTTTACATTCTTCTCTCCACAAACATCACGGTTAGCTTTCACCTATAAAACATTAGTTTAGGTTTCCAAGAGTAGGTAATTAAGTGCTTACAAATACACTGCCCTTACTAGTGGAGCAGCAGCAGTGAGATGCCCTTTCAAACCATACCTGAGAGTAAGAACTGAATGTATTTAGTGCTACTATTTGACGTTTCAGAACTGAAATGAACGAAGTTCCCATTCTATCTTTACATCTGAGGATTCACAATCAAAAATATGGCACATCATAGGAAAAATCCTGATAAGACTTATTTTATATTTGTGATAAATAAACCATTATCTTAGGTTGCTCCTGATTTAAACTATTCAGAAATCTGCCTTCATTACATGTGCAAATACTTAGGCTTCTGTGAGCAACAATAAATTTGAAATAAAATCAGACAGAGTAGGACACATCTCATTTTGTTTCATTAAAAAAATGGAGAACACATCACTCTTCTCATTTTTAAGAATGTGAGAGGTAGTTGCTCCATCCTTTCAGACACCCAGGACATGAATTAGATGCTTGAATTTATTTCTTGGCAATGAGGAAACAAATCTATGTGTGACACAAGAGCTGCAGACTGGGAAGCATGCCTCTAACCTAACCAAAGCCGACAACATAGCTCTATAGCCTGCTGGTTACAACACTAACTTAAGTTTACATTAAACAGCCAAAGAGCAACATATGATTCCAGATTCATCCAATAAGGTTACAGGCTGAGCCAAATAGTAAAGTGCAGGGGACAGAAAGCAAGATGTTTTTTCCTTGTCTGATACTCATGGACTCAGCCTGCTGATAGCAGGATGGTATTCTGAAAGTACATAGTGATAATTATAGTTAACTGAATGGGCTGTGGCAGACAATGAAGTATATTTTTTTTCTTTATGTTTATGGGCTTTCTTTCACACTGTCAGTTGTGTTTAAAAAACAGTTTTGCCTGACAAACAAGACCAGAAGTGGTCTCAGGAAGAAACAGGAATCAAGTCATACGGAGGTGATTCACAATTATATGATTTACCTCACAGACTGCACAAGACTATGAAGTCCACGTCATTATTTGCATCTTGCCTAGAATTGAGGGAGGTCCTTGTAAGGAGGATTACCCTGATGACTGTTCCTGGTTGTGACCACTGCAAATGTTGTCCACCACTGACAACTTTGATACTGTTGAAAAGGCACTGATAGCCATTCTTGGCTTCTCCAGGCAGCACAACATTTATTAGAAGCAAATTCTGCTAGACAAATAACTACAGGAAGAAGTGCTCTTTTCTTTATTTCTTGTCTGATTTGCTTTTAAGATCTCTTTACATCTATAATTTCTTATTACATGTGTTACCGTCTTGCTTATGCACCAACATCTTACCAGCAGCCCTGGTACCTGAGTTGTGTCCCTGCCTGAGGAACCTGAATCACACTTACATTTCCATAGACACAGCTGACTGTGAGGAATGCCTGGGTTTCAAGCCCATACGTGGCCCCCACATGTTCATATGTAAGTAGAAGTATCCTGATTTATAGCTGAAATCCAGCAAGTAACTATAGAACACACAGATAGAAGAAGAGGATGAGGGATGTGCATTCTGAACCATCTAAGAGTTTGTGGTTTCTGTATACCAGCAGCCTAACTATTGTCAGGATATTTATAAGCAAGACAGAAACACCTCAAGAAGAGATCTGAGAAAATGGAATTAATTGAAAATTTGGATACCCACACATGGGAACACGTTAGCAAAAGTGCCAGCATAGGTATAATGCATATAGCAACAGGGATTGCTATATGTGGGCTGGTTTAGGAGATGAGAAGTCAGCAATGCACAGCTGCCCTTGGATTTCCCAGAGGCAGGTACATGTTGGGTGTTGTGTGGTGTTGATAGGCTTTCACCAAAGCTCCCATGGGACCTGTTTTACAGATGGGGCTAGATTGGGACTGAGCAGTCTGAGGAAGGTCTGAGAAGGCCTCTGACCACCAAAAGTTTGGTTCAGGGCACAATTCTATTCTCATTAGTTTCTAGAAAGTCACTTAGCTACTTCAGTGGAGTTGATAACACCTTATAAGACAGCTCCATGCAGCATTGTCCGCAAGCAGCTCTCTTCTGCATTCACAACAGCAATGGGGACACTGAGGTTTATCGTGGCTTAGAGCATAATCCTGAGGCACAGTGCCTTGTCTTACTCCTTAATTATTCACTGCCATGCATTCCTTGTTAATTTATATACAGAAAGCTAATCTCGCTGGAGATCCTGTGCCACAGGTACATCAGGTTATTACTGTGACATGTTACAGCTTATGAATTCCTGTAGTTATCATTTGTATTTGCTACACATATCCATTGTGTAGTAATGTAGTAAATAAATGGTTTTAAGATTAAAATTGAAAATATCCAGAATATCCAACCTACTCTTTAAGTTTTATTTTTGTTTCCTGTGTTTGCACATTTATACAATGCTCCAGGTAAATGCTTCCCCATATGCTTTTTTTTTTTTTTTAATCATTGCCATATTATCAGGGTGTGCAATATAATAAACAGGTCTGTTAAAGCACCAATGATGTCTCTATTGGCAGACTTATAAAAGAGCTCGGTGACCTTGGTTAATTAGCCATGTAATAAACCAGAACTGAAAGAGCCTATTCCCACAAACCGCAGCACAGCACCACTCCACCCCCCGCCTGTCAGAGCCGCTCTGAATGGGAAGTCAGCAGACGCCATGCAAAGTGCATCCACTTAGCCTTGTAGCCCTTTTGAATATATGCAAAGATTAACAAAGAAATTTCCTTCCAGCCACTGACTAAGAAACAGTCTATAAAACAAAAAGATAAGTTTTCTGAATACTTCTGCCAGTTATTTCTCTTCTCCTACTGGCTACTACTGCTTACGTTATGTTTAGTTAAATGCACGTTCAGAAGTCTCAAGTAATAGTTAAAAAAAATATATCAAAATTTCCTCTGTCCCTTTCCAAAATGTTTTCTACAAATACTGTTTTGTCATCGCGTTTATCTCAGCTATTCTGAATAGAAAAAAGTCCCGATCCCAATTAAAGAATAGCTAATATTGCATTTTCCAAAAAAATGTTTTTTTTTGTTCCTGTTTAGCACATTACTGAATTATAAATCAAGCTAACAGAAATTGTATAGAAAAGTGTACAATATTTCTTGTCTTTCACTTGATTTGACTAAAAAGTAAACCTGAAAAAATCAGAACAATGTTCTAAAAACGAAATGTTTGGCCTTTTGTCGGAGGGCAAGATGGAAAATGAATTCAGATTTTTAGCAGATTTTCTGACCTTGTCCTGTCAGATTCTTTAGAAATGAAAGGTTATCTAAGCGCTAGCAAGAATCACTGCCATTTTAAAGTCACAGAAGTGTCACTTCATCACAAGTGTAACATCAGTTAACTGCATAGCCACAGGGTTAGTGTATTCCTCTGCACGTGTATCAGTTTTCCTGACTGCTGCAGGAATTCTCTCTTCCCTTCACCCACCTTGTCTGCAGCTCACAGCAGCTCTCCTTTCGTGGCATCTCCTGCATCCTGGCACTACACAGAAGACAAGCCGAAAAGCTGCACCACACATGCGAGACATGAGCATTGGTTTTAATACCATAAACCATCATTTCCATGCATGAGAGAGATTTTCATTTCATAGAATAAACATCATCGGGATTCAACTGAACTTATTTTTTTTACCCTTTTTTTTTTTTCATTTTTGATGTGAACATTAAAATTCCAGTCTTCCTGTGTGGTAAAACAGGAGGACATCA